TCCAAACTTGTTGATGGCTTCATCGAATCGCAGATTCCAACTCCTGCTAGCCTGCTTTTATCCATAAATGGATTTCTTACGATTACATACCTTTCCAGCATTATTTGGATGTACAATACCTTCGGGCCGTGTCATGTACACAATTTCTTCCAAAATCCCATTGAGGAAGGAAGTTTTGACACCCATTTGTCATATTTCATGATCGTAATATGCAGCAATTGCTAGGATAATCAGAACGGACTTAAGCATGGCAATGGGCAAAAAGTTTTCATCATAATCAACACCGTGAATTTGCTTGTAACCTTTTGCCACCAGTCTAGCTTTGTATACATATAAATTTCCATTTGTGTTCGTTTTTAGCTTGAAAATCCATTTGCAACCGATAAGTGTATATCCTTCGGGAAAATCAACCAAGTCCCATACTTGATTTTCAAACGTGGAGTCCATCTCAGATTTCATGGCTTCTAGCCATTTAGCAGAGTCGGGGCTTGTCATATCTTGTTTGTATGTCGTTGGCTCATCTTTATCCATAGCTAGGATGTCTTGATTCTCGGTGAAGACGACACCGAGGTATATGTCCGTTTGAGATCTTGTCCTTTGCGGCCTACGCAGGGTAATTGATTGAGCATTTACATTGTTGGTTTGACTTTGAACATTGTCGGTTTGACTTTGAACATTGTCAGTTTGACTCTGACTATTATCAACAGCTGCTTTCAAAGCCCTTTGATTGTCAATTTAGTCAGATACATTTTGTTGCTAATCTACTCGAATTTCATCAAGTTCAATTTTTCTCCCACTTGTCGTTTTGGAATGATGCTCCTTTTCCAAAAAGACATCATCTCGAGCAACAAATACTTTGTTCTCAGATTGGTTGTAGAAGTAATACCCCTTTGTTTCTTTTAGATACCCTACAAAGAAACATTTATCAGATTTTGGTGCAAGCCTGTCAGACATAAGTCTCTTGACATATGCTTCGCAGCCCTAAATTTAAGAAAAGACAACCGTGGAGGTTTCTTTGTCCGTAATTCATATGGAGTCTTTTCGACAGCTTTTGACGAAGCGCGGTTCAGTGTTAGTTCCGCGGTTTGAAGTGCATGTCCCCAAAAAGAGGTAGGAAGATCGGTAAGATCCATCATGGATCGAACCATGTCTCACAGAGTTCGATTTCTCCTCTCGGATACTCCGTAGCATTGGGGAGTTCCGGGAGGTGTCATTTGTGAGAGAATGCCGTGTTCTTTCAGATGGTCGTCAAATTCGTAGCTTAAATACTCGCCACCTCAATCCGATTGAAGGGCTTTGATTTTCTTGCCAAGCTAATTTTCCACTTCACTCTAAAGCTCTTTAAACTTTTTAAAGGATTCAAATTTGTGCGACATTAGGTAGACATAGCTATATCTACTATAGTCGTCCGTGAACGTGATAAAATAGCGATAATCATTCCTTGCGGTTGTGCTTATTGGTCCACATACATCCGTGTGTGTATGAGCCCCGATAAGTCACTAGCCCTTTCTCCTAACTTAGAGAAGGGTTGTTTTATCATCTTACAAAGTAAACATCCTACGTAGTTTTCAAACGACTCTAAGTTGAATTAATCAAGAATCCCTTCATGAAGAAGGTTCTTGATGCGTTTGATGTTAATATGGCCTAGATGATAATACCACAAGTAGGTTGGATTTTACCAATGTCTTGACCTTTTTGGCGGTATTGTTAACGTTATAAACTTGTCTGTTTAATGAAAGCACATAAAGACCTTTTTTTGAATATGCCGTACCATATAAAACATTATCAAGATAAAACGAACAACTATTGTCCCTTATCGAAATTTAAAACCTTTGACGTCCAACGCCAAAATTGAAATAATGTTTTTGGTAATGTTTGGAACGTGATAACATTCATCCAGTTCTAAAATAAGCCTCAAGGGCAAAGACAAACTGAGTGTTCCTACGGATACGGCCGCAATCCTTGCTCCATTGCCTACCCGGAGTTCCACTTCTCCCTTCACTAGCTTTCTACTTTTCCTTAGTCTCTGAGCATTGGAACAAAGGTGTGAGCCACATCTGGTATCTAATACCCATGAAGCATTGCTAGTAAAGTTAAGGTCTAAAACGTATATACCTAATCCAGAAGCAACGGTGCCGTTCTTCTTATCTTCCTTAACTTGAGGCAATCCCATTTCCAATGTCCCTTCTTCTTGCAGTAGAAGCATTCGGAGTCGGATTAAGAAGATGCTACCTTCTTTTGCATGTCGCCCTTGGTAGCTTTTGGCTTAGGCGGAAAGGTCTTCTTACCCTTCCCCTTATATCCCTTCTTCTTGCCCGATCGCTTAAATGGCTTGCCCTTCTTGACCATAAGCATGTCATGCTTCCCCTCATCTTTGAGCGTTTGCTTGGCTTGCTTCAACATCCCATGAAGCTCCGTGAGGGTTTTCTCCATGCTGTGCATGTTATAGTTCATCTTGAATTGATCATAAGCTTTATGCAGTGAGTGGAGAATGATGTCAATTGCCATCTCGTTCGAGTATCCCGCATCAAGCCTCTCCATGTTCTTGAATAATCTAATCATTTAGAGCACATGAGGGCTGACGAGCTCTCCTTTCTTGAGCTTTCTCTCAAGGATTTGCCTATGAGTCTCAAACCTCTCAGTTCAGGCCTGCTTTTGAAATATATTCTGAAGTTCAGATACGATCTCAAAAGCCGTCTCCTTCTTAGAAAGTCTTTTGGAGATCCGGAGACATTATGGCTAACATAATGCATTTGACATCCCGATTGGCAGCATACCATTGGTTTAGGGCACCCTGTGTGACCTCCTCATTAGGAGTGTCGGGCATTTCCTCGCCAAGGAAGTATTCCTTTAGCTCTTGCATGAGAACTATTCGCAAGTTCCTTTGCCAATCAAGGAAGTTTGGCCTACTCAATTTCTCCTTATCGAGAATTAAGCGGAGTGAAAACTGGTTATTAGTTGTTGGTGTTAGTTGCAAACATTTTGCTACAAATGAAAGAATTTGCAATGAAAAACCATTCATAAAACCAATAAGTTTGATATTTAAAGCATACATGAAAATTTTAAATCTTATTAAGCGTTTTATCCACACTTTTAAAATTCGTCCCTTTCAGGCGAGAATAAAACGATTCTAAGACCCAAAAAATCAATAAGTGATTAAGCATGCTTTTTGGCTTGTCTTAACACTTAATATTTTAAGGCAAGTGTTTAGGGTAAAAATACCCTTGACATGTGGACCAATGCCACTACGACACGTGTCCATAAGCTCAGCGCTCAACGAGCCAATAAGAGCATGACACTTGTCACTCAATGATAGAAGGCAAAAAATGAGCTTCAAGACCATAACCCTAGAAATCGTAAAACGTTGGGAAGCCTATTTACTTAGGTTAAATGACCTAAAAGGAACATGTCCCAATGCACTATAAATACTGATCATTTATAAGTAGTTGGGATACAATCAATATCCAAGTGCAATGACTCCCAAAAATACTCTCCCTTCTCTCTACTTTTTCTCTCTAAAATACCTTTTTTCGGTCACTAACTTGATCGTTGGAGGCGAACCTCCGGCACACCAGAGGTTCGTTGTTTTGCAGGTGACCAGGTCGTTCTAGTCTTGCATTGCGGATCTGTCTCCTGCGGGAAGTACACACCCCCTTCTCGGGTACGTACAAAAATCCCCAAAACATTTGGCGCCGTTTGTGGGGAGACACATCTGTAATAGCACTAAATAGTGATGGATCACCGAACCAAGGAAAAGAGCCTAAATTCATGATAAAAATCTGTACTTGGTCAAATAAAATAATCTAAGTTGTATGAGACATGATCGACATTAACTCATAAGCCTGGTGCGAAAGAGTTAGAAGGTAAAATGTCAAGTACAACAGGCGTCATGAGGCCATATGTTAAGTACAATAAGCGTCATGAGGCCAAATGTTTAGTACAATAGGTGTCATTAGGCCATATGTCAAGTACAGCAGGCGTCATGGGGTTAAATGTCAACAGTTAGACGATAAGGAAAATTATCTGGCTCGTCAAGCTAAGACATGCATTGTACAATTGTCACAAAGAAGGGTTGGACGGCATAAAAGACAATTCGACAATCCTAGGATGGATAATGGTAAAAAAAAAAAACCCAACTATCAAAATTGAACACACTTGTGTGAATAGCTAGACGGCACAACACATAAGTTACTTAAGCATAGTTGGTCGGCATACTGAGAATGCTGGCATTATGATTAATACTATAAATATCATATATATTAACAAATATATATGTATATGAATATTACTAATTGTATTACTATATACACAATATTATACAATTGTTTTTCAAGAATAAACTCTTGTAATTAGTGAGATACATGCGGCAAGTGTACTTCGATGACCAACTTATTCATAAAATATGGGAAGTAAGCTCTATGGTCGAACGTCATTCAAAGCCGCCTATGAGTGTCATAAAAGATTGCTCAATAGACCCATTCTTACGTGCTACGGACACATACGACAACTGGGTTGAGTATCAAGGCAAAATGCCATGAACAGACCTTTAATATTTGCCAAGTAATGTCACGATGATACAACACTTGTGCGGCTTGAGTTAGGCGGCAATCATCATCGTTTGAGCAGCTCATTTGAAGCTTATGTGGTCGGCACACCAAAGGCCAAGATCATTATGCTTTCATGGTGGAAACACCCCCTCACTCACACATACCGCCTAACTATTCTACCATGTACGTAAATACAATTTTGGTGAATATATTTATTATGCTCACATTATGCATGTGAGTAGCATAATACATACAACTAACAAAGTTCAATTTGAAAGATGGTCAAAACACGTCGTTAAATTCTTAAAACCTTATCAACAAAATTAATAACCCTCAACAAAACCTAAACCGAGTATAGGGTAAGTCAAGGGTCGATCCACGAGGAATGGGGAGTCAATCACTATAGTCTATGCGTTAAGCTACTTCGAAGAGTATATGAATGTGTAGTTGACACTACTACAAAGTTGGCCTAATGTAACACCTTGTGGTAACACTATATAAGTCAAGATATAAATAGATATTTAGGTAGCACTTTTGTAACACTTAGATAATAGGTAGCACTTGTATGTAACACATATGTAATATGAAACACTTCAAAGTAATACTTTACATAGAGTAACACTTTCATGTATTTGTAAAAAAAAAAAAAAAAACACGACCTTTGAATTGCGTAGCGCTCTCTCTCTCTCCTCTCTTTCACTTTTCCCTCTTTTCTCCATCCATCTCTGCGATCCACACTTTCCATCTTCTTCATCAATGGAGAGGCTCAAAGTCTCTCTGAAATTTTACCCCAATTTTTAGATCCTTACTCCTCACCAAACTCTAGCTTCTAAACAAGAACTCAACAACCAAACCTAAACCCTAGCTTCGATTCAATCGAACTATCAAACCGCAAGAAAACAACCGAAAATACGGTTGACGAGATCAATTAGGCGGCGAAGAAGAGACGACGAGCCATAGAAAACGTCGTCTTCGTATGATGCAGCTACTGCTGCTGCCGGAAATCCCTCCCTCTGTCCTCAATTTTCACTCAACTGATCCTAATTTTCATTCTTACTCTTCAATTTCCACAATATTAGCAAAAATATTGTCTAAACAACATGATTTCTTCTAGTGAGCTCAAATCCATCGGATTTTATCGGTTAGATTTCTTCTCCTATTCTAATTGCGTTTGAAATTTGATAATTTTCGGAGTATTTGTTTATTGTTATGTGATTCGCATTTTCGAAATTAACCTGATTTGTAATGTGTTTGTATATTTTCATTATGAAATGTTGTTTGTGCTCTGAATTTTTACATTGCGTAGCTCAATCAAGCTTGAAATTGTTTTATTGTTTTTTTTTTTTTAATTCATAGAATTTTGAGTGTTGTAGATGAAATTGTTTAAGAATGTTGAATATTTGGAACTTGAGTGGATGCATTCTTGATATTATCATAATACTACTACGAAATGATGTGATGATGCTGTGAAATTTTGATTGAATTTGGTTTCGAAAATGCTAAAAAGCGGATTATATGTGACTATTGATATGGGTTTTGGGGAAAGATGACTAGATGAGAATAAGAAGGAGCTATTATGTATCATTTGCTTGTTTTATGAGACGAGCTGAAGAAGCAGCTTGCTGCTCTTCGTGTCCTATTAATGGACAATTATTCTTCTAGCGAAGAACCAATCATTAAGGTGCTTTTGTTTTGCCCCTCCTATTTCCAAATTTGCTTACTTTTATTTACTAGTTCAAGTCTTTTTACACTTATTTAAGAGCTCCATTTTTGTTCAAAGTGTATTGTTGTAATTGTATTGATATTATAGTATGGATTTTAACACTTTATTGATATTGTCAATGGTAATGATGTATCTCTGCGAGATAGCTTATGTTTAGTGCCATTTTTTTCATTTATGCATTATGCATTATGAAGAACTTATGTATTCTTTTGAGTGTGTGTTGTATTGGTCATCAAATTTGCATGCTTGTGCATAAATGTTCTAAGAAAGCACTAGCCACATATTTGTTAAATTAGAATCTAAAATGTTCTGCCTGCTGCTGTTGAACACAACAATATTCTTTACCAATAGATGAGAAGCCTGTTAAGTTAAAATTAATTGTTTAATTTCAGATTTTGTAGATTTTATAAAATTGATTTAGAAGCCATGATTTATGTAATTTAATTGATGCATGTGTAAGCTTGTATTGATTCTATACAGAAACTGATTAGGATAAATGGTTGTTGAATGTCGGTTGTGAGGTGTATGTTGGTTGCCGGAACAATGTTATGCCTAACTGGGCTTGGTTCAGGGGCTAGGTTTAGAATCTATTATTTCACATTAACATATGGGTTTTTGAACTCTGAAGTTTTATGGGCTTTTCTAGTCTGGCTTGGTTTCAATTGTTTCTAAACTGGTGGCAATGCTTAGAGAAGCCTCCCATTGTTGAGATATTCTTCTAAGAATGTACACTAGTATATTCCCTTGATTATTCTGAATCCACTCACCTTTATCTCTCACTTTCTCTCTTAAATGATTATCTCAGCTCTTCAACAATGGTTATTAAGAACACGAACAACAGGGGCTTGCAAAAGAGTGGCATGAAGTATGATCTCGATTAATGCTTGTCACGTGGTTCTTGAACCTGAGTCTCTTCCTTTTGGATCAATTTCTGGACTATCCATTGATCAATTTAGAAATTATAATCTTGATAGGGTATATTCAAATTCATCTTGACTCTTATATCTGCATTATATCAGCAATAACATTTGTTCATAATTAAGGTAAAAGACTTGGTCAAGGTGTTATGTTTTATACTTTTTCATCCTTTAATTGGGCTTCTAACTTAATTTCCTTTTTTTTTTGCAGGACACAACAACCCTATATCCAATACTCTTTATCCAACCTACTAACAAAACTTGTGAAGCTATAAAGGTGAAAAATTTTCATTCTTAATTGCTGCTGTCATTCTGAACTTTAACTAAGATTATAGTGAACTTACAAACTCTTATACTATGGATAATTGTAGAATTTCATAACTGAGATTGTTGTGAATAATTAATGAACTTTTTGTTTAAGTGTGCTTAGCATTTCCATTTTATTTGACGAACTTTGTACTAATGATGTGACTCCCATCCCAACAGCCAGTACTCGCAAAAAGGGAGGCAACAGAGGAAGGAGCTGAGGAGACTGTGAATGATCATGGCCTAGTTCAGCACTGCTGCTACTTATGTTGTGCTTTACTGCTAGCCTTAAGCATTGTAACTTGTTTATTTTTTATATTTTTTTTTGATGAAATTGTAACACTACAAGCATTTATTAATAAAGATATCTAAGTTTATATATATATATATATATATATATATATATCGATTTTATTTTTAGGCATAAAGGGCATCGGATTAAGGGGAAAACTGGTGCCCTTAAAGACCCTTGAACCGGTGTCCATAACCTCTGTCATGGGCAACCCCCAAAAAGGCACTGGTTCAAAACCAGTGCCTTAAGCTGGTTTTGATAATAATAATAATGTGGCACAAAAAAAAACATAATAAAAAAATGTTACCTATTAATTAATAAGGTGTTACATTAGTTTGCAAAAAGTGATACATAATGTCGAATATAGTGATACTATACGTCAAAAGATGATTAAAAAATGTTACCTAATAATCAACAAAGTGTTACATTAGTTCGCAAAAGTGATACATAATGTCGGATAAAGTGTTACTATATTATTTAAAAATGTTACTAAAAATGAGTAAGTGATACATAAGAAATAAAAAGTAACACTTTAAAAATGATACTAATAGTATAAAAAAGTGTTACATAAGAAGGTTTATAGTAACACTTTTAAAAGTGTTACCATACGCTACCCAAAGTGTTACATAAGACCTTAGGTAACATGGGCGGATGTATCACCCATTTAAGTGTTACCTATTGTCTATAATAACACTTTTACCACTTTACGTAACACTTTTTAGGTGTTACTTAAGGTTAGTTATGTACTAGTGAGTGAGCTAAACAAACAAAGTAAAATTGGATTAAAACTCAACATCAAAAGCACTAGGGATTAGGATCCACATACAATCATGATAGTTCGTGTCATTAGAGATCACAATGCAATCTAGCTTGAAAATCAAGGTTAGCTACTCTTTAACAATTTAAACACATGCACAATTCTATCAACCAATTTAACACATCATTCAATCAATCAAAACCCAACAATTAGCAATGATCCATCATTCATGCATGTTTCACCATCACCCTAGCAAGGAATCTACTCACCAAGCATGGTGGAAATGAAGAACAAAACTAAAATAATCATCAAAATCATCATCGTCATTGTAAAAAAACTATTAAGAATTAAATCAATCAATAAACTTAAAAATGCAACAAATGATCAAAATCAAATGCAAAAGATTAAATTAAGAAGAATAAGATTCTTACAAACTTTAATCAAATCAAAGGAATTGAGTTTGCATTCAATGTAGAAGGAAATCAAATGCAAAAATCATCCAATTCTCTCAAGTTTCTCTCTTTAAAATCTAAGAACTTTCTCTCTCTAGCCTCTCTAATCTCTACTATGCATAATTCCCCCCTAGAATAACTAACTAAGGGGAAATAAAGTGGACGTCCAAAAGAAACCCGTACAGGCGCGCCCTCACTCCGGAATGCGCGGTCGCGAAGAAAAGGGTACGGAACTGGGGACTCAGGTGGCGCGCTCGCGCCTCTGGAGCAGGGGATCTCCTCTGTGCGTCCTTCAATGCAAGAGGTGCGCTCCTCTTGATCGTCATCGGGGATGGCAGTCCCAAAATGAGTTCACGGTGGGTTCAACACCATACTTCATGAGAGCGCAGCATGAGGGCGCAAGCATCAAGTCTTAAAGTAAGCCATCCCTTGCTTTGTGAGCCATAAGAGAGCATATACCTTGCACCTTAAGCATGTTCTAACCCGAGGAATCACCATGAAGGGCCTTGGACTCCACCTTTCTCCTGAAAATAAAGAAAAGCAACCAAGTAAAAGGGAGAAGACGTTAAAAACTACGAAAATACAAGAAGGGAGAAATAACTTGAATGAGATCAACTAGAGAACAAAGACTAAAACTAAGGAAAAAGGCATAAAGAAATCTATAAAAGCAACTAAAATCACCCAAAATAATGCTATTTTATTGCCATAAATGGCACTTATCAAACTCCCCCAAGCTAAACTTTTGCTCGTCCTCGAGAAAAACAAAAGCAAGTAGGAGTAGGATGAAAGACTTATTCAAATAAGAAAAAGGAAAGAAAGGAGACAAAAATATACACTAACTCACTTTCATAGGTATCACGGTTGTTTTTAGCTACAACATGCCCTTAAAACCCAAAGTTGCCAATGAGGATGAGTGAGGTCTCGTAAGGGTTTCCAAAGAGCTTAACTCATAACTCTCAAAGTAAAACGAGGCTAAGCATAAAAGGAAAAGTCAAATAAAAAAAGGAAAAAGAAAACAAAAGCTTTTGAAATGGACCTTTGTAAATGACCAAATACAAATGAATATACAACTTGAAATGGACCTTTGCAAATGACTAAATACAAATGAATATACAACTTTCTAGACAAATAAGGGTACGCACGTTTCAAGATATCCAAGGTTGATTGAAACATAAAATATGCTAAGCATAAAGAACTAATAAGACACAATTCACCTTTATCCTAAACAATCTTACCGCGTTCTCCCTACTAGCTTCAAATCCACCTCTAGTGAGCGTCTCAATGATTCCTCGAAGCAACCGGAAAAGAAGAGATTCTAGGGCTAGTCAACATCTTGACTATGCAAACCGTTCCATAAGCTTGACTCCCATATCCCTCCACCGACTTGTGACTCAACCATAAAGGTCAAAAGGTCTTTGAAGGGTTGTAACGTATGGGAAAAAAGGGTAAAGGTAGGCTAAATTTGAAATTTGGTGGTATATCTAAATTGTGAAGCAAAGGGTGATCAATTCTCAACACCATAATCAAGTAATCACAAAAAAAAAACACCAACACCGCCAAGCTTATTCAAAGCAAAAATCACAAAAATATATACAAAAAGCGTAAGAACGCTTCCCCCCCAAGCTTAAATGGAGCATTATCCTCAATGTTCTGAACTAGGGAGATCACACTTACATCAATTTTTTTTTGAGAATTTCATTTTTTTCTTATATTTTCTTTCCTTATTTTTTTTTGTATTTTTGTTAGAGCATTTTCTATTGCTCGTTATTATACTGTATTGCTTTGTCCTCGCCTCTTATAACTATGGACGACTTTTTCAACTTGCATTCGCCTTTATTCACACAATATACAATATAAACTTGCTTTCAACAAAAGAACCAAATATCCACACTTATACGCCATAATCACCAATAAAATAAGGACTATTTGCTTTACAAAAACCAAATATGGAAACAAAAATGAAACAAATGGCTCAAAAGCTAATAATATGGCAAGAAAAGAAGGTATAAGGCTCAAATGGTTAGCAAGAAGGCAAATGTAAACACAAAAATTAAAAAAATGTAAAATCTAATCCTAGAAAAGGTAAAATTACCACCTCGAAAAGATGCCTTTGTCCTTCCTAAATGGGTCGGTTGCGATCTCGGGAGAAGAAAGTCAAGTTCTAGATAAAGTGAGGGATAGTCAAGGATCCATGTGCTGCTCAAGCAAAATAGGTAGAAGGCTAGAAGAAATGAAACCTCACATGGTTGTAGCAAAAACTCACTATTAGCTTCAAATCCGCTATAGGAAGCAACACTTTCTTACCACAAACAAGTAGACTAGGGCTTCAAGGTCCCAAAAGTTCTAAACAAACTACCTTAGTATACTCTATCCTAGAATTAACCAAGCATATTCTCAAACCGTGCATACCGTTACCATATAGGAAGTCATTTATTTAGAAGTACAAGTTCAAATGATATTATGTCCAAATCATAAGCAAATGCAACAAGAAAAACAAAACAATGATTCAAAAATCTTTTTGGACCTTTTATGTTTATATTCAAAGGAAATAAAAAGAGAAAATAAGAGAGAAGGGAAAACAAAAAAGAAAGGAGAAGAAAAGGAAAAGAAGAGGAAAAGTAAAGAAAAGCACAAAGATGTATGCAAAATCATGTAAATCCCAATTGTCAAACAAGTGATCATTCGAATACAACGTCAATGACCCCAAACACCCTTACGGTGTTGATAGCAAACATCCTCGAACCGTTTAACTCTTCCTAAACTATTCCTAATCTAAGCCAACAATAAAGAAAATAATGAGGGAAAAAAAATAGAAAGATCTCACCAAACGATTCAAGCTAGACTTTGTATGAGAAGCATAGAGAAGCTTACACCTCCATGTTGCTCCAAGAAGCATAGCAAGAACTACATGGCAATATGAGAAAGAAAATAGGCTATACACAAAGAAAATGGTTAGTAACTTCAAAACAAAATCAACAAAATAAAACTATACACTAACTAGAAAGAATTTGGATTACAGTTGTTTCGGGATTTTTGGAGACCTTCGGGAGAGTTACAATTCCAAGAATGCGCGTCGATCGTCTGTACCTGCCTCCGACGATCTAGTTAGAACGTTTCCGGATGTATAAAAGTGCGGAATGTAAAGGTTTTTCTATCTAATTTAGAGAGAATCCTACAATTAATATTGCTCGGTTTTTGTGTGTATATTTATGAATAGGTAATAAATGAGGATTTTCCTCTATTTATAGTGGAAGGGGATCAATTCCCCTTTAAGGGTTAAAGTGCCACGTGTCAGTAGAAGATTAGATCCCCTTGGGCCTATCTGAGGCTGACACGTGTCAGCATGCTATTGGTCCACGTGGATAGGATATTTTTACCCTAAACATTTTCCCCTCAAGGTGTGACGTGGCTTGCCTTGTGGCACCTATGACAGGTGTCACGCTCTAAGAAGGTGACGCTTCGTCTCCTTCTCTCTCTCTCTCTCTCTCTCTCTCTCTCTCTCTCTTTTGAATTTGAAATGGGGAGGTGACGGCTCGCCTTCTGGTTTTCCTATAAGTAGAAACCCTCCCCCTCATTTTCAACACTTTGCAAATTTTCAAAAAACTTTCTTAGAGAAAAGCTCTGATACCAGCTGCTCTTTTATTTAAAACCATCTTCTCTTTCTTCACTCATCCGGTCACCGTCTGAGTGCTCTTTGATCAAAGCTCTTAGATACCGCCTGACCATAGTCAAATTTCTTGCCTTTGCTCTTAATATACCCACATCTAGTCACAACCGTCCGGGGTATCTTCAAGCAACTTTCCTTCAAAACGCTTGAGAATCCTTTGACTTTCCTTAGCTTTTAATACACCCACAGCCGGTCACAACCGTCTGGGGTATCTT